GGCCGCACTACGCGCAGTTTGCCCTGTGGACACGGCTCTCTTTGCAACTGGAACAAGTAGGAGAAACAGATGGTTTTTGTAAAAATGTCTTTTATGTTACAAAACATTTACAATAGTCATACCATAAGACTGAAGTACAGCATTTTGACATCTTTGTTTGTTGCTCATAATCATTTAACTGTCTTTAGGCATAACACACCAACCAGTTTTGTACAGTAAGTACAACCTGCATAACACAGGACTGTAGGTTTTAACTCTGTAGGGATGTCCAACATACTTGAGGTGCGGCTCCTACAGCTTGGGATCCCATCTTAAAAGACATTCTTACTCTAAGCCAAAGCCATTTTCACCTAAATTGAGTGAGCATCACTGGGCCTGCTAGGGATTTGAACCCAGAACCTCTAAACTCTAAGTCAACATGCCCTGTCATCTAATAGCACTTTCATGACAATCAGTCATATTGTACATCATTTTCTGCCTAAATACAATGTAAATGATCCCTTACCCTTGTCAGTGCTAACAGTGCTGGGAGCCTCCGTGCCCACAGTAATGTGTACAGTGCTGTACTCCCTACAGGCTGTGTTCCCAGAGTTCCCCAGAGTCACCTCCGGCAGCTGGATGTTCAGGGTGTCGAAGACTCTGCTGCTGAGGGACGGCGCCGTGTGGTACCGCAGCTTGTCCTTCCGCCTCTCCCGAAACCGCCGGGAGTTTCCTGGGTCGGCGAAGAGTTCTACATGTGGTGTGAATGTCAGGGCAGGGCTTCCAAACAAATTTGTTTTTCTTTTCGCGAACTAAGTCTTACATGAACAAGTTGGTAAACCAATTAATGCAACTCCTTTCCATTATGCCTTGAGGAAGGTGGCCAAAATGTTGTCAACTTGGTTGTGTACATAAGAATCCAGTGTTCATATTTCAAATAAAACATTTTGGCTAATGGAAAATCAGGCTGTAAAAGAGGTAATTGTACTTGAAGTAAATGTTTAAAATTATGCAGGTTTCGCACATTTAACAAAACCTGTAATTGGTTGTGCATAGCACTTAGGGAAAATGTCTCGTTTAGGGTTCTATTTCCATATCTAAACTTTCCAAATGTTGTATTGGAAAAGATACTGTCTGCAACGGGTAACATTCTAATAAGCAATAATGACACATCCAACAAAAACGGTGAAAAATCTGTGTTTTGTGTCGGAGTGTAATGTGTTCTACCAAATGCTTACAACTAACTTTTACCTTCGTTCTTCAGCAAAGCGCTGGGTCTGGATGGAAACAGCCACTTGTCGGTGGAACTCTTGTCCTTCAGCTCCAGGAGACGCAGCAGTCGCACCTCGTCACTCTCCTGCTCTCTCCTTCTGTCTCTCCCCTGGTCCAGGGAGAAGCCCACGGCTCCCTCCATCTCTCCATCTTCCATGTCGTAACCCTGCCAGTTCTCAACATCAATGTCCGCTGACCTGAATGTCATGTAGAACAAAGGTTTATGTTAAAAGGGCATTATGTAACATTTTTGCACCAAACATTAAAATATACTAAGGCTACACCAATTTAATTTGTTGTTTCTCGGATTTTTTCAGAAAAAAATATGAAGCGACAGGGCGAAAAAAAAAAAACAGGCCAATGCACCTCATGATATCTGGAAATGTTACAATCAATATGAGCCATGAAGTGGACATACCCGGTTGGTTTATAATTAAAACAATAGATTTTGAACTTTTAATGAAACCAAAAATTGCATTGTTACATTGAAAAACTTTATCAACTAGGAAGAAAAGGACTTTCTTCAACTGTTGGAGCCAAAATATTTCTTTCATTGAGCATTTTGCAGTTGATTTAGAACCAAAAAAAAAATGTTTTAAATCGCGAAAAAATGGATTTTTGCAAATCACGAAAAAATGGACAGGGTGAATCCAGGAAACAACAAATTAAATTGGTGTGGCCTAATAAAAAAAAATTGTGCATTAATAATTTACTTCCACTTTTCAACATATTTGTGCCATTATTTTGCATTTCTGACATTTGTGGTTGATGCTATAAAAACAGCTCATTTTGAAGCACCACCACAAATACCAGAATGTAAACAAATATGGCTGACAGCTGGTGTTCCCAGTCTTTAAACACACTCGTAAGGCGTAAAGCATCATATTTTGGCACCTCAACTTCCTGAATAGCAATTATTTGTAATGGATTAGGATTCATTCAACTATGCAAAAAAAATTACCAGAAAATTCACTTCTTGTATACTGTTACATAATGCAGCTTTAAGAAGTCATACTTTAGATGAATAGCAGATACATGTACACTAATGACTTACATGGTTTCTTCATCCACGTCACGTTCATCGTTACTGGACTCCGACTGCTCTTCCTCATCTGCCTCGTCATGGGTGGTGTCGTCAAGGTCACCTTCACTTGCCTCCTAACGGTTGCAAAACGAGTTTACAACAACTTCAATCTTAGTCTTGTTTTAAAACGTGGGCTCATGACACATAGTGTAGTAGTACAATGTAGGTCTCACACAGCCAAAGACACAAACTACTGGAGGAAATTTCAAGTCTTTTGCACTCACTCATTTTTCAGAAAACAGCGTGTCCAGCTTTAAACCCACAGCTCCATTGCAGTGTAATGTCTTGGTAATACTGTTAGTTCTCTGGCAAAAGCACTCAGTGGGATCACCAGTTTGAAGCCCCCCCTAGTGATTACCACAAGAACTGCAGCATTGTTACACTTGTGAACAACAGACTGCATGATTATACTGAACCTGTGTTTCTTCTGTGCTGTCCTCTCTTTCCTGAGCATCTGCGGCCTCTTGTCTGTTCCCTACTTCCAGACTCTCGATGTCCATGTCCGAGCCTTGCGGCCCCTTTCTCTTGAACGGGCGCTTCACCAGCGGACCTTCTTCGATGTCGTCGTCAAAGGCGGCCTCGGTGGTACAGAGGTCCATGGGGACGGAGTCTACGCGCTTGGCGCGGGGTTTGAGGATGGGGTGAACGGGAGACGGGTTGTCTCCTCGCTGACTCTCGATGAAGGTCATTCTGTTGTCTGCTTCTGTGGTTGGGAACAAATCACATCAGTACAACAGCATGAAAGTTCATCTGAGTTGGTAAATTACATTATGAAAAACTTAGAACTGTTCTCCAACTCAAAATTTGACTCACCAGAAATTTTCGACTGAATCACTCATTCTTCCTCAGCTATCTGACCCAAATGCTGTGGACACATGATTTTTGCTCAACCGGGACAGGGGGCGATATCGACTTCAGACAACTTTTGACCCTTTGTCCCGGTTGAGCAAAAATCATGTGTCCACAGCATTTGGGCCAGATAGCTGAGGAAGACTGAGTGATTCAGTCGAAAATTTCTAGTGAGTCAAATTTTGAGTTGGAGAACAGTTTAAGTTTTTCATAATCACATCAGTACAACATGACGTACTTTCAAAGGCAACATCACAGATCTCAGTTAACTTCCCTTCCCATACGTTTTACACACGGTTTTAACTCAAGGCTCTCCCCAAGCAATGAAGCAAGGGTGCTCCCCCTCTCCCCGTAATCCAAGCACCTCTCCCAAAATGTTCAAAATTAGGATTTTCTCTTAGTATTTTCATAAGATTAAGAATTCGCTGATTTTTCATCACCAAATTAGGGAGCACCCTTAGAATTTCTGGGGAGACTCCTGTAACTCATTTTTTTCTTGTGCCAAAGTTTTGTACATTGCGTTTTACGTCGCCATTCAAAGCAGTGCAGATGCACTAATCAGCTGCAATCATGTGTGGCTATATATAACGCATAACCACATACAATTTCTTGATCATCTACATGCAGTCTAAACTAGAAATGGATGTGAATGAAATGAGAATTGCACAGTTTTTGCACATGCTTTAATAAACAGTGGCGTCGTGTGGTGTAGTGGTACATCACTGGACTATGAAACGGGGAGACCCGGGTTCGATTCCGGGTCATACCCGAACAAGTCCTAACATGCGCCCCGACGTTGTACCCTTGGGAAAGGTACTTTACACGACTTTCCTCACTTCACTCAGGTGTAAATGAGTACCTAGCTTTGGTTAGGGACGTCCCTCGGATAGGACGTTAAATGGAGGTCCCGTGTTTAGGGAGAGCCACACCCCACGCACGTTAAAGAACCCACCGCACTTATCGAAAAGAGTAGGGGACCTTCCCGGTGTGAGTGGTTCAAACCTTACAGTCTGGTCTCGGGGTTGACATCTTTGAAAAGGTGATAGTCACCTGTTATGTCAATCCTTTCACAAATGTGGTAAATCTTCATAAATAAATTTAAAGAATGAATACAAAGTGTAGGTACCTGTGGTGGCCACTTCTGCTGACCCCTTGCCGACTTTCCCTGATGACCCTCTCTGGTTCCGGGACAGTTCTATTGCTAGTCTCTGTAGTCAAACAGCAAATAAGTTTATGAAATTTCAAACACACACAAAACCAGTTCTAGGCTGCTAATCATTTGCTAATCATTTGTGAAGACTAAAATTTCTATTGAGCCAGCAAGAAACAAGAGAGCAAAATTCAGAAAGATATCCTGCTGTATGTAGCACTTCTATCTATAAATAACAGACAACATTTTACCTCTTTTAAATCATTGACAGTTGCAACATATCCGGCCTGAGCAGACTCCAGTTGTCGAATGTGCCTGGAACATCAAGGTGTGGATACATTATCTACAGGGTTTGAAATCCTTGCTTTCTGCATATTTGCACTACTTCAGAGGTAGCTGAAGATTAAAGGTTATTGTAAATTCACCTATGCTGGGATTTAATATCATGCTAGTAGGAGTGCAAAGGAGGTCAAGTTTGTAAACAATGCTGTAGCACAAAAACACAGATTTGCAGTGTTGATTTCCCAGTGTAAAAGCCATGAAAATAAATCCTCCACAAACATTTCAAGGTGTACATACAGTAATTCCTGCTCTACGACAAACCTGTAAAGATACAGTCCTTTTTAGCATAGGGGCCGCCTATGCTATGATTTTGACCCCCTATGCTATAAATTTGACCCCTATCCTGTCTTTCAACCAGCATAGGGGTGTTTTTTGGGGGAGAACCTTCATAAATCTTGCAAAAAATGAAAATATAACTTTAGAATGTAGCTATAGCAAAGGGAAAACCTTAACTTCACCAAATCTGTTCCTCATCAAACAAGAAATAGTGTCTCAGGGGGATATGACTATGTGAGTTTCAAAATATTTTGGCTCAATGTGCGATTTGTGCCACGAAAGTTGCTCTTCTTTACTTGACCCCTATGCAATGAAAAAATCCTGGTGAGAACCCTGAGACGTATGCAAAGACTACATTTGTGATGGTGAACTCACCATTGCTGGTCCCTGCACTTCTGGTAGAATGTGGGGGGTCTGACTTGGAAGCGAAGTACCAGAGTGTCTGATGGGATGTCGTGATAACCCTCGCTCGCCAACAGGTCCAGACGGAAAAATCTAAAACAACAAAAAATCAGAGATTTCAAACCTACGAGAAGTGTCTGGGTTACTGTGCATGTATTGAAACTGAGAAGTTGATTGTATGATGATGATATAATTTAGTCAAGTAGTACACAAAGCACTTCCTGAACTCCTCCACATACTACCCGCTTACTCCCACCTCAAGACTTAACCTCCCTGTCAATCAAGTAACCAAATATCCACCCCACACTAATCTGCAATGGACAAGCATACACACAAACCCAGATAAACCACCCAAAACAATACCTCCACATGCATACACACACACCATCAAGCCATACAAAAACAAAATCACAAAGACTTTAATGTCATGTTTTTTTCTGAGCAAAAAAAAAACAAAGAAAAACAAAGAAACTGACCTGTTGTAGCCCCAGCATTCACCCACTTCAAAATCTGAGGCAAACTCCCTGACAATGTTCTTACTGGAGTCTGGGGAGGACTGGTTCAGCATCTCTACTCTGTACTCGTATCTGCCATGAAGTTGAATGGGTTAGACACAGTACTAAGAGTTTCAAGCATACTTACGCTATACATCAAAATTGTTATACCAGTACAAAGGAAATGAAACGAGAGATGTCACATTTCCACTAGGAATTTTGGGTGTTCGTGAATTAATTACAACAAATGAGAACATTGTTTGACGTACTTTGATTGGACTATAGTTCCAGACAATACTTCCAGATCAACAACGTACATTGTGGGCAAAAGTGGCAGAGAAAATTTGACTCCACTCTTTTGCAGAAAAAAATGTCACACTTGAACTAACTTTGATGTCTCGGGCAGTCCTGCTGACAGCTCCAGAAATACTGACAGGTAGTTCGCTCTCACCACACCATTGCCATCCTACAGGGGGAGGACAACAACATTCAACAGTGTGTGGAGGGTGAAAGTCTGTGTCTGTATCAGTATAACCACCCTTCGGCGTAACACACCAGCTTCGCAGGCACGCAGCGTGGCGGCAGCTGGCTATATCACACCAAACTACTTGTTACACTCAATCTTTGCACATTTAATTGCAGGAGTTGTTAAAAGCTTTCTAGTGATGATGCCCCAACTGTGCTTGGTGGCAATGAGTTCCAGTCTACGATAGTTCTGGGGAAATACGAGTTTTTGAACACCTCAATTCTTGGTTGACGAGTTCCAGTCTACGATAGTCCTGGGGAAATACAAGTCTTTGAACACCTCAATTCTTGGTTGATAACTCTGATATTTGAAGGCATGACTGTTTCTTTTGTCAATCAACTGTATACCTAAACTTCAAACTGTAAAGCCTTTTTAAGAACACTTATTCACACTGACAGTATCCTATGGCTGTCATCTTCTGAAGGCTATTTTCTATTGATAAATATGGCATTTGAAGACATTTGAGAATGTACTAGAGGGATGAAGTGACTTACAGGATAGACTTTGAGTCTCCAGCTGAGTCCGTTGACATGTAAGGGTGGACTGTAGACTGGGTCAGCTCTCTGTTGTAACACACTGGCAAGGAAAGTACAGTTAACAACATAATTAATCATACCTCTCATAAGTTTTCATTGATTTTGCTTTGCTTTTCTTTAAACTATTGGACAACATTACTCTGTAGGTTAATATACTGGTAGGAGTAGATAGTAGTAGAAAGTTGCTGAACAATACGCAGGTTTTGTAACATACTGGATGTTATACTGGCCGAACTGGCTTTTCGTACTGCTGATATTGTATTTCCTATGTATATGTAGTGTTTGTATTGAAGTCTGAATTGGTAATATTCTTCAAGATTTTAAATTGTAAAAAGTCTACAATTCAGCCATTTAGGCTGCCACAGACTTTTAACCTGTATGTTTATGTTTATGTGAATAATAAACAAGTCATCATCATCATCATCATCATAGAGACTGCTTACCTAAAGGTCTGAATGACAAAAGTACTGGCATCATACGGGGGCACCAGTTCACTGTAAACAAAAAAAAATCAATCTCAGATTTCCATGAACTTCACAATGACGAACACATGCTATCATTTACTAAAATTGATACAAAATTTGAACAAATGCCTAAGTGTAAGTGCATGAGTGCCTCACCTGGTGAAGTCAGCAGGTACAGGTGCTGTGACGAAGGACGCCATAGGCTTTCTGTGCACCTGGGTAAACATCTGTAGCAGCTCCGTACTCTTGGCTATCAGCTCACTCTTACTACAGGACCTCAGCTGTAAACAAACAAACAAACAAACAGTTAAACAAACAAACTGTTCAACCCTCCAGACTGCGACCGTTTTGGTCGCATATGCGACCAAAAATTATGAAATGTGACTAAACTGTTTACTCTGGTCGCGCACTGCGCGACCGGCAGAGAATCTGCTGTGCGCCTGAATTATTGGCTATGGCGCTGTTAGAGGCAAAAATTTCTTATTTTTTCCCGTAAGAATGTCATATCAATGCCAGGCAAAATCATGTTCATTTGTCAGAAAACCCATCACAAGTCCGTAGATACCATTATCTCGGCAAATAAAGCGGCAAACAGCTTTTTTTCGAAGGAAAAACAGGCCCCGACACACATCCGGGCCGCCATCTTGATTTCATCTGGCGTGACCTCGCGACCCGACTCTCGCGAGACTTGATATCCTTATACCATTAGAGGGGTCAGGTGACGAGATCTCGCCTTCAAAACTTGTGCAGCGGAGCGGGACCTACATGTAGCGGGACGGAGTGTACACGATGTTTCCAGAATTCTGAACTACCATCTGGCCTAAATTTGGGAGGAAACTAAGCAGATAAATATCTTTATCAGCCACAAATATTTGATTGTTGGCAAAGTTTGTGTTTGAAAAGAGATCCTCCCTCATGGCCCAGGAGCGTCCAGGATCTGGGAAGTTTGGCAATGCGTGACTGATATGATTTTCTACTAGAACTCCTCTAAGGAAAACTTGCAATGGGCAGATCTCTGTTGTGCAGACTTTTCATTTGTTCAAAGGTCAACTGAAACTAGGTTGTAGATTGTTTTGATACAGTTGAAGAAATAATTGATATTAATAGCAAAGTATTTAGACATTTGTGAAGCTTGTTATATTATTAAATAATTATACTAGTACGCAATTCCAAATGAAGCCTATTTTTATTCATTCTTCCCCTTTTATGTTTTCTACTCTGTCCTTTTTCCATGAGCTTTTTTTGCTGTATTTTATTTTTTATTAATTATTTTTCAGTCAATGAAACTACTTCAGACATGTAGTGTTACCTGAAAAGTTGAGAAATAAAGAACATTGAATCATTACATTGTCTTCATTGTTGCGGAAAATCTGTACCTTTAACGTTAACAAAATGGTTTGAGTAGCAATGTTAATATTATTAACTGTTAGATCATGAATGACTCAGTGTATTATTGCCTAAAACATTTAAGTGTTTTTTAAATAAAGGATTTCATTGTTGCAATGATAAATGCATAGATATATGTCATTTATATTTCGGGCAAGTGAAAAGTTGGTTCGGGCAAGTGAAAATGAC